CCCCGACTCCGTCCCTGCGCCCCCACACCCAGCCGCCGCCCCCGCCGCCCAGCGGCACGCCGACGCAGTCCCTTCGTGGTGGCCCCTCAACCACCCGCCCGGCTCCGGGGCGCCCGCACTCGCGCCCGAAGCCCCCTAGGCTGCTCTCTCCAGCCACCCGGAGCCCTTTTCCACTCAGCCGATACCAGCCGGGGCTCGCTCACCTTGATCTCCTCCACCTGCCGAGTCAGCCGGCTGATCCGAGTGCCCAGGTCTTCCTTCTCTAGACGCCCCGAGTGTGCCAGAACTTCCTTCACGAACGAAGCCATGGCCACAGGGCGCGTCGACGTTGACAGGACCGCTGTCCCGGCGCCCGCGCGGCCGCTCCAGTCCGGCCGGCGGCGCTGGCGCGAGGCTAGCTGGGAAACAGAGTCTGGCGCAGCCCCATCTCCCTGCAAAAGGCGAGGTCTGAACTACAACTCCCAGCAGGCCCCGCGACAGGCCCCGTGCGGGAGCTCCAGGGTTTCCGTAGTTGCAAACTGTACGGAGACGCGTTTTCCTCCTCAGTAATTTTCAAATAGCTCTAGGATTCCCGCCCGTTTAGCATTGCGATAAAACGAAAAAAAAAAATTTTTTTTTAATCTAATAACCAGACTTCACTGAGCCTTTCTCAACTTCAAAATGCGTCCCTATGAAGACCCATTTAGACCAACTCAACATGTTTGTTGTTGGTTAGTCTTTCGTAAATATTCACTCACTGAACTGTTAGACTGTACATGAATGGTGCCCCTGGGGTTGTAGCATGAAGTGGCGTCAACCCATTATAAATTTAAAAAACCAAACTCACTGCCATTGAGTCAATTCTGATGTGCAATGACTCATAGGACACACTAGAACCCTCTCAAAGGTAAGGTGACCAGATTTAAAGCGGGACACCATTGACCGGGGGTGGGGGTGGGGTGGGGGTGTTCTTGATTAAAAATTTGGTCTATATGGACCAAATAAACCGTACCCTAGCTTGTCGTGCATTCTTTCCAAAAATCGGGACTTTTTTAAAACGCCCAGAATCGGGATGTCTGGTCACCTTACTCAAAGGGTTTCTGAGAATGTAACTCTTTACAGCAGCGATTATCAACCTGTGGGTTGTGACCCCTTTGCGGGTGGAACGACCCTTTCACAGGGGTTGCCCAATTCATCACAGTAGCAAAATTACAGTGATGGAAGTAGCAATGAAAATAATATTAGGGTTGGGGGTAGGTCACCACAACATGAGGAACTGTATGAAAGGGACGCGGCATGAGGAAGGTTGAGGACCACTGCTTTACAGGAATAAAAGCCCACCTTGCTCCTTCAAAGTAGCAGTGGTTTCAATCTCATGACCTCACAGTTAGCAGCCCATCGCTTGTAATTGCTATAAAACCCGGACCTATAATTGCACCCCTTTTATATTGTATAGTTTATATTTGCATGCATATATTGTCAGGTGTCCTCCAGACGATTCCAACTCAAAGTGTAACAGAAGAAAAACTTCCTCGTTGGGGTTTCTAGGCCTTAGGGTAGCAGCAAATCGCCAGGTCTTGCTCCTCCCAAGCTGTCCGGAGCCATTCGGCTCAATCTTCACTGTATTTTGTCAGAGCTTGCAGTACTTTTCCATTCCCGCCTACGTGACATAGTTTTGTGATTATGTTATTCCTGCTTCCCCTTGATTGGGTAGGAGATTGTCTTCACCCTATTTACATATCTAGTGCCTGCACCTGATTTGCATAAAATGACGTCACTTCGGGGACCTGGTTAAAGACTGTAAACCATTACTGAGGATTGGTCTATTACCAAAGTAGCCTAATTTACATGTGCGATGGGTGTTTCCCTTCCCCTGGCCTATATAGGCTGCAACGGTTCACTCAATAGAGACTTGATCAGAATACTGTCTTGTCTCCGTTTCTCCTGTCTCTTGTTCCCCTCAATTCCCACTCCCTCGTCCAGGGTCTGCGTTGACGTTCCTGCAGGTCGGGACACCAAGCTGCCAGGTAGGATTAAAAGCCAATCTCGGTTGGCAGCAGGGTGCTTAGCTGCTGCAGCAGCACAACTCCTTGCAGACACAGGGGAGTTTAAAAAGCATTGTTGCTCAGGTTCCCATTCAGGCGTGCACCGTTTTATTCCAAACAAAACTTATTTAAGCATATGTCTCTGATCAGCGGATAGCCACAGATAAGTTCACTCCATCATTGTCTCGCCTCCCCTTCTACAAACCCCAAACCAAGCCCAAGCCCACAGCTGCTTCCGCACCACAGGGTTTCAGAGGCTCTGAATCTGTATGGGTGCATGCAGAAGGCCTCATTTTTTCTCCAACAGAGCTGCTCTAGGGTTTGAACAATCGACCTTGTAATTAGCATTTCAAACTTTTCCAATAGCACCACAAAGGGCTCCTTTTGTCTCTTTAGGGTGGCTTCCTTTTTTTTTCTTTTCCTTTAGGTCCATTTAAAACAGTGGTTTCTAAGAGAATCTACTCACTCCCACTGCCATTGAATCGTTGCTCACCCATCGCGACCCCTGTCGTTTTCAGAGACTGTGTACAGAAGGAGAAAGCCCAGTCTTCCTCCTCCAGAGCCGCTGCTTTGGACTTTGTGGATCTCAGCCCAACGCATAACTACTACACTGCCAGGAATCCTACAGGGAATCTACGGGGATCGTTCTATTCAGACAGATACCAGTGTCTGTTTGGGGGAAGATCCCAAAGTGGTCAATTTGGTAGGTTTTCTACAAGAACCCAGGATAGGACTTCGGAGAAAGAAATCGGAAACTGCATGGATGAGAAAATGGCCAGGGAAGTTGCCCTGAGTTTGTTTCCCACCATGGAACTGCAGCTGCTAATTCTTCTAGGGTAGCGAGGGCTGTCACACGAGAACTGCCTTGGGAAATCTTCCCCCATCCATACTGCAGCCTGGATCCCGTCCCTCTGAGGCCTTTTTTTGTTCCCCAAGCTCAAAGAATGTTTCAAGGGACCGTGATTGGAATCCCTGAAGGATGCCAAAATTGCCATCTTGACTTGGAGTACATCAAAGGGTGCAGAATTCTTCCTAGCATGAGGGAAGCACGGCCTTCCAAAATGCATGGACCGAAACAGAGGCCATGGCGAGAAACAGTAGC